CATTACTTTTGAGCATGCAATGCCCAGAATCCTCCAGAAACATGCCCACTGGGAATTATATTATACCTCAGAGTGGTATAGATTTATCAGATGGGTGGGATATAAATCAAATAAATAAATAAATAAATAATAAATATAGTCTCCTCGCCCCACAAAAATATCAAAACTTTATCCAAATCAAATAAATAAATAAATAAATAATATAGTCTCCTCCCCCCACAAAAATATCAAAACTTTATCCGGTACCACTCCATATTTCCCCCCACTACTATGGCAGGACAAAATGACAGACAAAATGAGAGACATTGAAAACGGAGGCAGGTTCTGGCAGAAAGACGGCGAAGTTCCAGAGATGGAAAGGATCAGGTAGCAGGGAGTTCCAGTAGCACTGCCATCAGCAAAACTATTTGCATGGCCATCTATATGGGATGCTTCGGGAATGAATGTTGGCATTTACAGTGGGTTGGACTAGATCAATGGTTCTCAACCTGGAGTGTGTGTACCCCAGGGGGTACGAACCACAGTGTTTAGGGGTAGGTGGGGGGAAAAAGCCTAATGATGTAATAAGACCTAGGGAAGCAGAGGGAGGTGGAACAGGCCTATACATTGTGGATCGGTGTTCAGGCAAAGCACGTGTGAGAGCTTCCTGACAAGCATCCACAACCTTCCACAGTCCACAGTGGGTGGGTCCATTCCATCTCCTCTCAACTTCATTTCCTTCAGAGATTGGCTTCTCTTTGATAGGCGAGAGGCCGGTTTGGTCAACACTGCGGGACAAAATTGGCTGGACTGCCTTTCCATCTTATGGCTGTGTGTCAGAAGTGCCCCTGCCCCTTTGGCCTTTAGCTTAGGGTAGTAGTTCCCAACCTTGGGCAACCTGCGTTTTCTTGGAGTGCATCCTGTACCACTAGCTCTGCTGGCGGGGATTTCTGAGAGTTTGAGTCCAAGAACACTTGGGTCACCCAAGGTTGGGAACCACTGGCTTAAAGGGGAAGTTGGTAAGTCTTGTGTTGGAATTATGGAAGGGACTGCAGAAAGCAGAGCACCAGGTGGGTTTGGAGATGCTTTGGGATCGTGAGGGGGGGGGAGGCAGGGAATGTAGTGCCAGTGCACTGAGGCGGCTGTTGAAGCATCAGGAACTAATTTGGTCCCCAGTCCCTCTATTTTCTTCAGTGCCAAAGCTGTGGAGCGGGGGAGGGGGGAGAGGGAAACCAGCCACACCACAAAATCAGTCCATACCTTCAGTTCCTGTAGTCTGACTAAGAGGATGGGGTTGGATGGGATTGAGACCTCCTGCATTTTGGATGTTCTGATTGCTGAGACTGGAGCTCCCAACACAGATCGGGGTGAGTTAGGCATGGAAAAGAAGAGGGGCTGGCGGGGCAAAGTTGCAGCTTCTGTGGGTTGTGCTGTGCCGGTTACTTCAAGAAAAGACAGAAGGTGGGCGAAAGTTGGGGAAGGAGCCAGGTTGGCAGATGTCCAAGGCTTAATGGAAGCCTAGAGGTGGGGAGGGGAGCGGGCCGACATAAGTAATGGATACATGTCTGCTGCTTTGTTATTTCGCTGAATGGTGGGGGCTACAATTTATGGAAATCGGATACTAAGTGACTAGGAACCACTGGACTAGATCATCCTTTCCAGTGATCAAATTGTATGATTCTATCTGGATTTGCTTCCACCTCCATGTACTTTTCAGGTGCAAAACTTTACTTTCCTCTGCTTGGATAAAAGGTATTAATGCACTTACTATGAGGTGGTGATGGTGGGGGTTTAAACTCCCCCTAGGCAAGCACTTAGGTGTTTGTGACAAGACTCAGTTTTGATCCTTTTCTTCTGTGTTCTAGATTGCTATCCTGTATTTTATTCCCCATTTGGGGTGGGGGATCTGTGGCTTTTCAGATGCTCCTAGCAGCTTCAACCAGCACAGCTGGTTGTAGACCAATAACATCCAGAGGACTGTCTAAACCAGGGGTGGGCAATTAATTTTTATAGGGGGGGCCACATGAAAAATCTGAACTGTGTTTGGGGGCCGAACCAACTTTACTTTAAAATAAAATGAAACGTTAAAGATAAGCAACTGATCAACTTTAGACAAAAAGCTATAAATGGTTTTGATGTTCAAAACTGTCCATGGGCCGGACAAGAGTGACTCGCAGGCTGTATGTGGCCCCCGGGCCACACTTTGCCCAGGTCTCATCTAAACCTACTAAGCACCCATTTGCTCCACAATTAATTATAGGGTATGGTTAATTGTCACCTCCTTCTTCCCAGCCAAAATTAATTATAGGGCATTGTTAAGTATCCTCCTGCCCAACAACCCCCCCAATTTTCCTTAGTGAATATTGACCCCCTCACTCCACCCTGTGGAGCAAATGGTTGCTTAGTATGTTTAGGCTATTTAAGTTTAAAGAAATGGCACAGTACTGTACACTGGGTAGGATATTTAGTAGTCTTGATCATATTCCCTCATGTGATAGCCCAGTACAAATATCAGTTACTTCGACTGTAGCTGGTAAAAGTTCTCGTCAAAGTTCTTCCACCGACTTACCTAGTTATCACTGCATGAGGGTGCTGTTATGTTATTGTGCAGCAAAACAAACCAACATTCTGCAAGGCAATTCTAAAAATGGGAGTAGCCCCAACAAAAAATGATAAATTTGATGCTAAACTTCTAATCAGCACATAATTTGGTATGTACTTAGTATACAGCCTGCTCTTGATTTGTCCAAATTTCAGAAAGTTTTGGTGAAGGATTTTTGAGTTATGATTTTTTAAAAGCAAAACTGTTTCACTTCTCCCCGTTCAGAAACAAGCAAGTGTAAACATTCCTGGATTTAAAACAGATCAAATAAATTGAAAAGACCAATCTTACTTCTCTTGAAAGAGAATGATTGATGTCACCCATGTTGCTGTTTTTTACTTGGAAAGATTAAAGGTTTGCAGGGGCTGAAGTATTGTTCCTCAAAAAGGGCCTTTCAAAAGACTAAAACAGTAACTTTGTTAGACGGGCTTACCAGCAAGAGCATTCCAAAGTAGATATATTTTTGAGTTTTGCCAGGGGAAGGCTCTAGAGCAGTGATGGCAAACCTTTTTGGAACCGTGGACTGGTTGGGGTGGCAGGCTCCATGTGCTGGTGTGTGTGGGGCACCCACGCGCATGTGGGTCAGCGGGTCATGCTCACGGGCGGGCATGTCACACTCATGGGGGGCATGTTGTGGTCACGGGTGGGCATGTCCACAAGTGCGACACCCCCACCATGTGTCCATGTGGGAAGGGGATGGAGAGCCATTTCCACTGCCCAGCCCTGGGAAGCCCACGGACTGGGACTGGGACTGGCACTGGGCCTGGGGGTTAGGGACCCCTGCTGTACAGCAATGAAAAGAGACAGAGTCAAAAAAAACAACAACCAAGAAACCGATGCTTACTATAAAAAATGGAGTGACAATCCTCCAGGAAGGAACATTTCGCCATTTATCTCCATGGAATTAGCATACAAAATGCAAGGGACTTTCAAAGTATTTCTGCATTACAAAAGCACATAGCAGTTGTATTTATCTCAGCCCCGAGTGCTTCCAGTAAATGATTCTGAAACCAGGTTCCTGACAAAAGTCTTCAAAGGGGAAATCAGTTCTAGGTCTGGGGCAATCTGGGTGATGACCGAATTAGCTGACTCTCAGGAGGAGAACTTTTAAATTCCTTTCTGGACAAACAGGCACTACAAAGAGCTTCAGTGTGTAGTTGTAAAAATATTTTAAAAGATTTTTTTTTAAAGAATAGAGAACAAATATTTGAAAGTTCACTCATTTAAGATGTGAAATTACTGTATTTTTCTTGATGGCTGGGGATGGTCTTAATGTTAGTACAGCTTTGGTGTCTATATCTTATCACAGTCTCCATTCCACCCATCTTCTCACTATAAAATTGCTTGGTAATTAAAAAAACACCTTCAAATATGTTCTGTGCCATCAAGCCTCTTCAGATGTGTGGTGACTATATGAGTTAATGACCTCCAAATTGTCTTATCACTAACTGCTCTGGCCAGATTATGTATTTTTGATTACAGACTCTGTCCATGTTCTGGTCAATGATCTGAGGTTTAGTTAGCTTCCCCACTCCCACTCTCCATATCTCTTCTCCTTGCTCTTCTTCCTCCTAATATAAGACCATGAAGCAAACATTTCAATTCTCTACAAAGTTTTTTAGGGGAGGATCCATGCAAATCAACCTTACTGTATTTGTTTTGTACAAAGGCCACTGGGTTTTAATTTTGCTTCAAAACATATATAATTAGTAAGCATGATCTATTGGAGACTGATGCCAGTGTCTTTTCCCCCTCTTTGGTCACTGTATTCAGCAGATTTGGAGGCAAGAGGAATTGGACACCATGATCCATGTAGCTACAGGGTGTTCTCTAAGGCAGGGGTCCCCAACCCCCAGTCCGTGGCCTGGTGACGGACCATGGCCATGGCAGGACCGGGCCACAGAGACAGATCTCGCACCCACCCACCCCGCATCCACTCCCCCACACACCCCATATGCATGCGCAGCCTGTCCACCTGTGAGCACACCCCACCCATTTGCACATGTGCACGAGCACGCCCTGCCCATCTGTGAGTGCACCCCACCCACGCATGTGCACAAATGTGCTCCGACTACCCGCGAGCACGAGGGGTTGTCCCACCATGCACAGACCCCACCTGACATCACATAATTACTCCTAATCTGCTTTGATCATTCTTACATGCTTCCTTCTCAGCTTTGAAATTTGCATAACCTTCAGGCAAGGAAGCAAGTTGATTCCTATCTCACAGTGGATATCTCCACCGGAAAATATTGAATCCTATAGGAATTGTATGAAAGGGTGATATATTTTGGAGCTCACTGAAAGAGAAATAGAAATAAATAAATAAATAATATTTGTGAAACTGTTGCTCTGTCTAAATTGCATCTTGAATTCTCCTCTTGTTAAGAGACTGGGCTCTTTGTTCTGGTTTTGGCAGGTCACTGTGTATTATAAAAACAGGAAGCCCCCATGGCTCTGACCAATGCCTTCAAGGCCGTCACCAACACACCTGGACTCCTCATCTGGAGAATTGAGGTGAGATGAATGTAATGTAATCTTTTCAGTGGTGAACTGAAAGTTTATTTTCTTTCTCAAGCTATATAGGGGCTTGTTGTCATTGTCGCTTTAAACACGAATTTTGAGTACAGCCTGCCGCCTGGATTATGATTACTATCTGAAGAGAGTTGCCCTCAAAATAAGTCAGTCAGTTGCTGATTGATATGCCAGAATTCGAAAAAGTGAGATTTGTTTCCATCATTATACTTTTTTGTTGATGCTGATTTCATTTTCCTATATTTCTCCTTGTATAAAACTAATTTGCACACTTTCATTACTACTTAACTGCTGTAAGACACTTACGTGATGCTGCCCTTGAAGACCATTCAGAAACATTAAGTCCTACAGACTACTCATTGGGGTTTTGTCCATCTCTTCATGGTATCCTAGGCACAATGACTGGCATCACTGATACATGCCGCTGGGTGCCATGGGCAATCTGACATGGGTTAGAGCAGTGGTTCTTAACCTTGGGTTACTCAGGTGTTTTTGGACTGCAACTCCCAGAAGCCTTGACCACCAGCTGTGCTGGCTGGGGTTTCTGGGAGTTGCAGTTCAAAAACACCTGAGTAACCAAGGTTAAGAACCACTGGGTTAGAGAGGGGATGATTGGAGGAATATGAGTGAAGCCAGAGGTTTTGAGCGGTGTGTTTCTTTTCCCCAGAAAATGGATCTAATATTGGTGCCTCCGAAAGCTCATGGCAGCTTCTTTGAAGGTGATTGCTACGTTCTCCTCTCAGTAAGTGCTCCCAAAGCTGGCCACATTATGATGTTTGAGATCTTCTGTTTCTTGTTTATCTAACAATGTTGTAAAAGTGAAAAAAAAGGTTATTGTTTTTAAATCCTTAAAACACGTCAATCCTCAGCCTTAATGTTTGGCTAGAATGTTCTGCTAACTTTAAGCAATATGTTATATAATGGTGGTGGTGTCAATCTTTGGTCTTCTTTTATTCATTATTATTAATTTTACATAACTAACAACTACGATACATAAAGAACAAAACTAAAGAAAATATACATACACTTAATGTGCCCCCTCCCCCGCTGGGACCAATGGAGATATTCTATTTCATTCCTTTCATGGAACCTCATTCCCCTTCCAGATATACTGTACATTGACTCTTGAGAAGGTACATGACTCTTCCCCTTTGTTAATATAAAATCAACAAATACTCCCCATATGGCTCTAAACATATTCTTATTTGACGTTCCTTTTCTTACTTCAATATTACATGTTAATTTATAATTAACAGCTACATATATTCCACATTTCTTTATATTATTCATTTAACTGGAGATTGCATTTCACTTTCCAATTATTAATTTTGGCGCTGTTACTAGATTTGTGATCAGTTCTTTCATTGTCCAATTCTATGATTCAGTCTGAAATATTGATGAACTTTTGCTCTTCTGAAGGTTTCCTCCTACAGCCAGCTTTGCTCAGCATGGCCCATAATAAGATGGGATGGTGACCAAATCGCCAATCCCACCTCCAAAATTAGCCTGCCACCATCCCATATTCAGAACTGCTATTCATTCCCATCCTGCTTTTGCCTAGAGATTGGGAATAAAGAGTTACAAGCAACATCGCTGTCAGAGTGATTTAAAAAAATTGGCAGTGAAGGGATAATCGGGTCATATTTCAGAATTAATGGGGGGGGGAGGAATTACATTAATGTAACAGGTAAAATTTCTCTGGTTACTTTTTAGAGTTATTTTTCAAGGGCACTTGGAAGGTATTTTCACATTCTATGCCATTTTGTTCTTGTGCCCAAATATTCCACCCCCAAGTACAAAAAGCAATGAAGAAAGTATTGCATAATTTTTGAGCATTTACTTTTTAAAGCATAAGCACTACTAAACAGTGCAAGCATAATATCATGTGGCTTGAGAGTTGGCTTGTACTTGGTTATGGGTGATGACAGGGTAGGTGGGAGGAGATTTATTTATTTTATTTTATTTTTGCTAGAGACCAGTAGCTTGGAGCAGTCAGAATTTTGGAAACTTTCATATTTTAAAAACAGAGACTAAAAGTCTCAGTTTTGCTTTTCCTAAGCACAGCAAAATAAAAGTTACTTTTAAAAATGGAACCTATACCGGTAGCTACTATAGGTATCTAGGTAGGTAGATGACAGTATAATGGTAGTTAATCAGTTTTACCTTTACCATATCTACTCATCTCTATCCACAAATACAGTGGGTCCCAGCCTTGGGTAACCCAGGTATTCTTGGACTCAAACCACCAGAAGCCTTCACCACTAGTTGTGCTGGCCAGGATTTCTGGGATATGTAGTTCAAGAACATCTGGAGATCCAAGGTTGGGAACCACTGCATCAGTAGATAGGCTGGGTCCAAAGCTTCTTTTACAGACAGCAGTGCCCTAGCTGGAAGCTATAGGGAGGAACTGCAAGTCTACAGAGCAGCTCTATGTGTTTGAGAATGATGCTCCAAGACGTTAATCAGGCTGAGATGGGTCACTCACAAACTTTCCTGTCCAGGTTTTTGAAAGGAACGTAAGACTTCTTTCACCTTCAGAGGGACTTGACTTACTACATATATTTTCCCCATGACCTTTTGTTCCTCCTGCAGACCCGTAAATCAGGCACCACCACCACATCCTATGACATCCACTACTGGATCGGAAAATACTCTTCACAAGATGAGCAGGGCTGTGCTGCCATCTATACCACCCAACTGGATGACTATCTGGGTGGGACGCCTGTGCAGCACCGAGAAATACAGGGCTATGAGTCTGAACTCTTCAGGGGCTACTTCAAGCAGGGGGTCATGTGAGTAGGAGACGGTGGGCTTGGGGAGTCTCAGAGTTGCATTTGGGCCCCCCCTTTTTAATATTTGTGTACATATTGTTCTTAAATACTGCCTTTTAATGATGTAAGGTGCCTCGTTATACTCATTGTTTCCAGCTTTAAATATTGTCTTTCAATTTTGTAAGCCACCTTGGGTTCTTTTCAAGGAGAAAGGGGGGGGGGAAATATTTTAGATAGACAGACAGACAGACAGACAGACAGACAGACAGACAGACACATACATACATACATACATACATACATACATACAGTGGTGCATCGCAAGACAATGTTAATTCGTTATGCGAACAGCAAGATCCCTGCTTTTCTCCTCTTGACCCCATGTGAAGCTTTTGAAAACAAAGCTGCGTTATATTTAATAACTATCCAAAGCGGTGCTTTCAGGTGGTTCAAGGAAATGAATTTCCCATCATGTAACAAGCGGAAGTGTTGCTGTGTTGTTTGATTAGGCAAACTCCCTCCAACCAGCTTAGTCTTCTGTTTTCTGACTTTGGCCAACCCAGATGTGGCAGAGATGTTCACAAAGCAAGACCACATGGTGCAACCCACCCCCTGATGTGAATTGTTCCCAGGATCATTTGGAAAAACAGAGGTATCCAAAGGGTTATAAAGTGCACTTCTGGTGACTTTTCCACTTGGAAGGTATTGTTCGCAAGCAGTCACTGGCTGAAATTCAATTATGTAAAGTTATGTCATGTAAGTCTGAGGATGTCATCAACCGTAGCTGTATTTTGGTAATTAAGCCCCTCCCCCAAAGTTCTTGTGTTCCCTTAGCATCCCTTTGGTCCTGGGGAAGCTTTTAATAACAGCGAGATAGGGGGAAGAAATCTTATACCAGGGGTGGGGGAGGGAGGAACAGGAAATGTTTAATTACCAAAATACCACAGGGGCGGATGGCATCATCAGACTTATGCAGCATAACTTTGTATTATTGAATTTCAGCCGTTATGAAGCAGATTACCCGCACTTTTGACAAATGGCCAAACTGTTCTACTAGCTGGGGAAGGCGACTGTTTTGATCTACAGTTCCCAGAATCCCGCATCCAGCATGGAGGGGGGGGGAAGGAGGCTGCTCTGTTTGGAGCACCACCGTGGTCATATGCCTGATGACAAAGATGGTGGGTTATGCGGTACCTTCTGGCCAGGGCCAGCCGCTGATGATTTCCTTCCCCAGGTGCAGCAGCCCATGACTTATCTTCCTTCCCAAAGTTAATAATACTTCAGTAAATGAAATGGCTATATTTACTGGCCTTTTAGGATACTTGCTTTGCTGAGATAGGGCCCCCAACTTTGCCTAATGGTAAGACAGACCATGATTGCAGATAATGGAAGTGCCACATGGGATACTGGTTGTTGGAAGGCTGACAGCATAGCCATTATATGTCCAGTGTTAAGACTGTTTCAGTGAACCCAGTTCCGCACTGATGGTGTGACTGCCCGCCAGTACCTTTGCAAAGACCTATTGTTTATAAATGTTCCCATTGTCCCTTTTTACCAGGGACAGACAATATTTCCTGGTACCTGTTGCTACTTTGCCATTTCAGGAGGGCGTTAACATTTATTTGCATATTATGGCACACTAAAATTGCAATTCTCCTAGGATTATCCTTCCCCCGAGTTTGCCATTTTAGCAGATCTGGGGGTTAAGTTCCTGCCCTGCAGTACTTCAGGAGCACCACAGAACATCACTATGGCTTATTTAAAAGATTGTTTACTGCTTTTAGAGCCATCTGGGAATGGCTTTTGCCTTTTGGGGGGTGGGTGGGCAAAACCATATTTTTGCAGGGAAGGGAAAATCTAGGATGTGTGTGGACTATGTATCATAGAATCATAAAATAATGACGTTGGAAGAGGCCTATAAAGCCATGGAGTCAAAATGGCTGCAATATGTAGGAAGATCACACTGATGCTTCATTTCCTAGCACTACCTCTAGATGGGGATAGAGACCAGGTCTTTGCAGAATTTAGTGCAAAAGTTCCGCCCCATTGAAAAATTAGAAATCTAATTCTCTGTCGGAGTTTTTCCTCTAGAGGGGGTTTAAAGAGAAGGGTAGGTATGCGAATTGGTAGGAAACTGAAAGCTTCTGACACCAAGGAGAGGCTCTGGTTACAGAAAGGAACCTAAAATGGAAAGCCCAATGGCAACATAGCCCATGCCCTGAACAAAGAAAGGCAAAATTAAACCATGACTTGCTGAAGGGATGAAAAATAAAATCATGGAAAGGCACTGTGACTGTAGTCCTGTTCTGTAACTAACACTGTATCATCAGCTATAGCAATTTTTTGGAATTAAAAATTGCCCCATCCCTGTCCCATAGTTTTCCCACAATGCGAAGGATCCTGTGGGAGCCTTGGGACCTTCAAGGGGAGGGAATCAGAAATTTTGCATTTCCAAAGGACTATCCACAAAGCGGGTTTAAGCCAGAACATGTCACTGTACCAACTGGGACAAGAGAACGTCGCAAGGAAAATGACTACTAGTGTCAGTACAAAATCAAGGACATTGAGAGGGGGAAGCACTTCACCTGGAAGAGCCCTGAAAAGTTAGGGTAAAATATGTTATACTCATTAGATATTGGAGTAGGAGTTGCCTAATGTTTCCTGTTTTAACAAAATTACATGTGCTGATGTTGCATGGAACAGAACTCAAGTATCCTTATTGTTGATTGCTCAGCATAAATCTTTTGTTGCCTGAGGAAAGAGGTGGGGGTGGGGAGGGTGGTGGAATCTTTTGCCTCAGATACCAGATTCTCTGAGATGGGTATCCCAGAGGCTCACCTGTCCCGAATCTACTTGGCTGTTAAGATCTGCAAAAGAGCCTCCTTTGAAGAAGGGTGGCTTGAAGAGGCCTCTTGATTGGGTGCAGAGAAGAGGGCTTTGTCCTGGCTCACCTCTCTGGCTCCCAGATCGTGGAAGGCACTCCCTTTGGAGTTGGGACACCTTTCAAATTGGGCTGCAGTGACATGGCCAAGCACAATGAGATTTGCTCCGCTTATAAAATGGGTGAATCCAAAGTCATTTTTTATTCATTTTCAAGCCGGAACGATTTGAACAGGCTATGTATTTCCCATGTGGTTAGTTCTGATACAATTTTGTAAAGACAGAGGGTGTTTCTGAAGGTGGTTTTCAGTGACATCATAGACAGTTGGGACATGATGTTCAGCACCAGGAGAACACAATCCCCATATTCTTTACTCTCCCCTGAATTCTATTTTAAAAACTTTTTTAACCTATATAAGATTAGTGCCAGATCTCCCTATCGCCGGATCATTGTCATTAGCATTTATAGTACTGATGCCCTCCTCACTTCCTCGTCAGATTAGCAGAGGTGGGACTACAGGAAGGAAGGAAGGAAGGAAGGAAAGGGGACTGTGGGCTAGAAGGTGAATCAGTTAACACTAAGTAGTTTTAGAAGAGATAGCCATGTTAGTCTGTGCTCACATATGAGGCAAAAACAAAGGGAAAATATAAAACAGAGAAAACAAAAGCATTGTGTCAACTGAAAGACTAAAGTAAAATCCCGTCGTGTTTTACCCTATCCCACTGAGTGTGAACCTTGAACTCCCAAATCAATCCACAGCCCCTGTGTGAGCACTGGCTGAGATCTGAAACATAATACAGGCTGCAAATCAAATTTAGTCAAACTTTTGTTTTTTTACATTGCTATATTGATTTTAATGCAGCTCTAAGTCTTTTACTGTTTTTGTCTGATTACTCTTCTATTTTTAAATCTCTGTAATGTTTTACTCACTTTCAGAAAGGTTTAATAGAAATTCCTCAAACAAAACAACCAAATAGAAACCATCAAGGAGTCTTAAGCTAAATGTAGTATTTCCATCAGACCATCTTAAAGAACAAATTTGGACAAGTTTAATCCATATGAATATTAATTGGTTCAGTAATACAATCATATGTATGCTTACTCAGAAGTAAGCCTCACTGATATTCAATAATACTTTGTTTCAGAAAAGTATGAGTAGGCTCACAGCCTAAATTTGCTGGAATTCACATTAAAAACACACAATAATTTTGAAGAGGAAAAAAAGTGTATTTTCTTTGATTTTTGAATTTTACATACCTGTACTGTATTAAGATTCTCACCATTTTACAAGTGGAATACCCCCCTGGGAAGAGTAACACTTCACCTGAGATGGCACCTGCAATCTGAGGTACTTATTTTAAAAACAAATTACATTTTCAAATGTTTTTTTCTTTAACATTGCTTATATTATCTCACCTTTCCTCCTAAGAAATCGAAACACAGCATCTAGTTTTTCCTACTCTACTTTTTATCTTGAGAACAACCTAGTGAGGTACAGATCAGACTGAGAGAACACAACTGGCCCAAGGTCACCCAGTCAGAGAACTAGAATCTGGATCTCCAATTTTTTTTAACAAATGGTCAGCTTGACCACTGATGGATGTTTTCAGCCCCAGTTGAATGGATCAGTGTTGGCTGTATATGTTCCAATTAGTTATTTTCTGGTTCTACTGAGCAGGAAGTAATGATTAATTCTGACAGTCCATTGCTAGGATTTAGTTGTTGAGTTTCTGCACCTCTCCTCATATCCTTTTCCTTCACAGCTACAAGAAGGGGGGTGTTGCATCTGGGCTGAACCATGTGGAAACCAATTTCTACGATGTCAACCGGCTCTTGCATGTCAAAGGCAAAAGGAATGTCATGGCTACAGAGGTAAGCCAGTGGGAAAACCCTACACAGGGCCTGAAGAGACCTTGGATCGGGTCCTGTTCCCAGGGCCAGGCTTAGGGTTACTTGGTGTGAGGGAGGTGCCCTCAGGCAACAGATGCTCTGAGAGTCCTGGCAGCTCCCCGGCTGTTTCTTTGGAAAGCCCACACCCTCCCTCCCTTGTTCCCCTAAAGTAGCTTCATATGACACAGGGCACAATTTCTCTACCAGTGGTGGATTAAAATTCAGTTGTAGGTCAGTCTGATTTGTTCCATTCTGTGGAATGGAAGAGAACCTTCCATCTTTCCCTGCGCTTGTGGCATGTCTAAGAAGTACACTCCTAAGTGGTCAATGAGGTCTGTTTATCACTGCACATGTCTCCTCAATGACGTTTCTTGCATTTAGCTTGCTTTGTTTTGTGATTGACCATTAAGGTAAATGTAGCCTTAATTTCCAAGCCTAATTGCCAAAGCACAGTTTTCTAAAGGAACTTCATTGCAAGAGAGACTTTATGAATCACGGAGAATAAATGTTGCACATAATTTGGCCTTAGCCGCAGAATGCTTTGGGCTGACTCTGATACAGTCCCAACCCACTCATTGCTTCTCTTTTTCTGCCCACATTTGTTCCTACACCCCCAATGTCTGCAGGTGGAGAGGAGCTGGGACAGCTTTAACGTTGGTGACGTCTTCTTGCTGGATCTGGGCAAAATCATTGTGCAATGGAATGGGCCAGAGAGCAACAAAGAGGAGCGCATGAAGGTGTGAGCTCTCTGGGTGGGGGTGGGGACTGGCAAAAGGTGGCGGTGGGGAGTTTTAGTCCATCATTTTTCCAAACACAAGATGCTCCAGAGTCACATCAGCTTGTCCGAATGAAATCATAAATAATATTTATTTATTTGTTTGTTTTAAAACAACTTATTTTTCAAATAAAATCATTCCCCCCATAAATTAAGGTGTGTTGGGGTAGGGCCACACTTTGTTTTAGAGAACTGCATCCCCTTATTTTGTTTGGATGGGGGAATTATTGGGGAGGGGGTTTGGAAACCCTTTTGTGATTCTTCACTCAGAGTGGATTCTGGGGACTTCAAAAGGGCCCAGGAGGTCACCTGATTCCCATTTAGGGGGTTTACAAAGCTCTAAAATATAATGCACGTGTTTCTATTGCCCCATGAGTGATGCAGAGGGGTTGTAGCTCAGTGGTAGCACACATACTATCTCTGCTTTAGCAAGGGGTTAGACTCAGTGGCCCACAGAGTCCCTTCTTAGCTGTATGGTGCTGAATTCTACTGTGTGTGCAGAAGACTGCAGGCTTGATCCATGGCATCATGTAGAGTCGAGAAAGACCCCTGCCTCCCTTTTATTATGAGCTGTCACCAATAAATCCACCTAGTACGAAACTCAGTTAATCTCAGCGGCCTGACTCCGTACAAGGCAGTCTAATGCACCTGATGTCTTCTTCCTTAGGGGATGCTTCTTGCCAAAGACATCCGTGACAGAGAGAGGGGAGGCAGGGCTGAGATCGGGGTGGTGGAGGGGGACGAGGAAGAAGCCAGTCCAGATTTGATGAAGGTGCTGGAGAAAGAGCTTGGAGAGAGGCTGCAGGCGATCAGGCCGGCCATTCCTGATGAGGTGGTGGATCAAAAGCAGAGGACCCACATCTCGCTCTACCGGTGCGTAGACTCCATCACGTTTCACATAGCAGCTGTGATCCAGCCACAGCATGGATGTGATTGAACATGGCAGTGGTGTAGGATGACAGATTCAGCTTAGATTATCAGCCAGATTCTTATTCCATCTTGATGCCAAGGTAAATCCATTGGCATTAATTTCAGTGCCAAATTACCATAGGTTAAGAAGTCAGCATAGGCATTTGCTATCACACACTGAGGCACAAGATCAGTGCATGATAGCAAATGCGAGTGTTGAGCTCTTGTGACAACTTGCTGCTCAAATTGCTACTGGCACACCTGACAGGATTCTGGCCAGTGGCTTTCCTTGCTTGAAAGGAATAACATAAAACAAATTGAAATGAGACAAAATGAAATGAAGTGAAATAAGGTTGCCAACGACTGCTTTAAAAAACCCCACAAACACTGTCCCCTAGCAAAGCTAGGGGAGAAGAAGTTTTTTTTAAAACTAGTGGATTGGATCATTCGTTCAGGAATTGGGTAAATGAAAATGTTTTAGTACAAATCCCAAGAATGCTCCAGTCATCCTGGCCACTGGCTGTGCTGAATGGAGTATTCTAGAAGCTGTAATCCAAAATAACAAAAATAACCTTAATTTTTCTCTGAGCCTGTTGGAATTTGGTAGTTTAAAGGCATTGCTCTTTATGCTGGTCTGAGAGAGGATTTGGTTTTTTCAGGGCTGTTCCCAGAGCCTGGATATGTTCCCTTTTTTTGGACTGTAAACTTCCAGAATTTTTAAGATGGCAGAGAGTAATATTTTAATATTACCAACATGAATTTGACCCAGCTCCGGGAGGCAGTGGAAGACAGGAGGGACTGGCGTGCTCTGGTCCATGGGGTCATGAAGAGTCGGACAGGACTTAACAACTAAACAACAACAATAACAACATCTTAATGCTTGGGCTGCTTCATAATAGATGTTACAACTTCTTCTTATGGGTGCTGAAGATTGGGGACTTCAGAAAGAATTAATACAATTTGAGGGGAATTCCAGAGGAATTGTAGATTCCAGTATAATTCCCCATTAAAACACCAATCAACCAATTAACCAACCACTCTCTCTCGCTCTGTCCTTCTTCTAGAGTGTCAGATTCTGGAGGGAAAATGCAGATCACAGAAGAAGCCCAGCGGCCCTTGGTACAAGAGATGTTAAGCCATGATGTAAGTCCAAGATGGAGATGATATGGCATCTTCAGAGGACTCTCTGATATTGGAAGTTAAATTGTCCCTTTAGCTCAGGCATGGAGAATGTAAACCTCCAGATATTGTCAGACCATGACTCCCATTAGCCTAATCAAGCATAGCCAATGGAGAGGGATGATGGGAGTTGTGGTTCAACTTATGGAAAGGCAACATAGTCTCCACCCCTTCCTAAACTGCAGTCTGCAACTCATTTATATTGAGACACACCCTACAAAATAATAGCAATTTAGATTACAGTCTCAGATTCTTATTTTGAGCATATTCTTCTAGAAATATTGACTAAAATCCATGGAAGAGGCTTGCAGGGTATGTGCCTTGTCACAGTGGTTTGGAAATGTGTCGGAGGCTGAAATCCTGTTGCAGAGTTATGCAAGTGATGTAATTTTGGAAGTGAATTGATGTAAGATAAGAAATCTCCATAGACATTTTCTGTTGCGAACTGAGTCGTGCTACTCCTCATGCAATAGGTAAGGCCTACAGAGATTTCTTAACCCAGGGCAGCTTGCCTCTAAAAGGCATGTTGTTTGTGTAGCTGTGCAACACAATTTCAGCCAATGGGATTGAGGCAGCTTCAGCATAGATTCAACTTAATATATTGCTTAGAGTTTGAAAATAATTAGTGCCAGAAAAGTTGCTTGAAGTTAATTACTTCCCACCAAACCCCAAATAACTCAAGCCTAACAAAGCTACTCTACGATTGTCAGCTAACAAGGGATCATATATTTTGTGAGGAAACTGTCATCGTTCTTTTTTACAGTTGTGAGGTTGTGTGGCTTCACTGTTCTGATCAACCCATAGCATTCTGATCTTTGTAAAGAACATGTCTATGGCCAGAATCCTATTGGCGATATACACCTGTGTAAATGAAATGACATGCTCACTGGAAGGACAGATCCTGAAGCTGAGGCTCCGATACTTTGGCCATCTCATGAGAAGAGAAGAATCCTTGGAAAAGACCTTGATGTTAGGAAAGTGTGAAGGCAAGAGGAGAAGGGGACGGCAGAGGATGAGATGGTTGGACAGTGTCATCGAAGCTACCAGAATGAATTTGACACAACTCCGGGAGGCAGTGGAAGACAGGAGGGACTGGCGTGCTCTGGTCCATGGGGTCATGAAGAGTCAGACATGACTAAACGACTAAACAACAACAATGAAATTGGTCTTGCTGGCAAATTGCCACTCAGGAACAAGGCGCTGATGTTGTTTGTGGATGCAGGTCACATTGGGCAGTCAGGTCCACACCCAGGGATGCAAGCAGTGGAGCAAATTGCAGCTCATCAACAAGGCACTGCTTGCCAATATGGCCTACTTCCGCAAACAACACCAGCACCTTGTTCCTGAGTGCCAATTTACTTCTAAGACCGATTTCATTTACACAAGTGTATAGAGCCAATAGGATTAGCATAGACCAAATACATCCCTTCATGGTAATGGTGTTCCTTGATGGCAGTGGCCTTTTCCAGCAGGATAATGTACCATGCCACACTGCAAAAATTGTTCAGGAATGGCCTGAGGAACATGAAAAACAGTTTAAGATGTTGCCTTGGCCTCCTAATTCCCCAGATCTCAGTCCAATGGAGCATCTATGGGATGAGCTGAAACACCAAACCCGATCCATGGAGGCCCCACCTCACAGCTTGCAGGTCTTAAAGCAGTGGTCCCCAACCTTGGGCCTCCAGATGTTCTTGGACTTCAACTCCCAGAAATCCTGGCCAGCAAAGGTGGTGGTGAAGGCTTCTCAGAGTTGTAGTCCAAGAACATCTGGGCGCCCAAGGTTGGGTACCACTGTCTTAAAGGATCTACTGCTAATGTCTTGGTGCCAGATACCCCAGGAGACATTCAGATGTCTTGTGGAGTCCATGCTACAGAGCTGTTTTGGCAGTACAAGGATCACCTACGTGATATTAGTTGGGTGGTTTTAATCTTGTGGCTGATCAGTGCATGCAGTTCCCTTACACAAGCATAACATGGCACAATGACTCCTGCCTACATCTATTTTATTTACTTTTGAATACTGAGAAAGTAAACAGTTATTCTTTAAAAATGTAAATATAATAGTAACCTATTGCTGTGGTAGGTGGGGTTGCAGAGATCAAGATAACTAATTAGTTTTTCAAGCTCTGCTATTTCTATCGTCTCATAAGGCCTTTCTCCACAGACTGGATCTTCCTGTATTGTGCTAGTTTCTACTATAGTTATACAAGGCATATTTCTTTCCATTTCCTCACATGCTGGCCATGACGTTGTGGCAATGACAGGCCATCTGAAACCACACTTGATGGGTGGGTCAAATATCGGTTATATGTTACTGGCCAGAGTCAGCCTACCATCAGTCAGCTGCTGACTATTGTCAGGATTGCCTCTCAAACCAATAACTATGGGTCATTTCAAAGATCTTTTTCTGGCATCAGCCCTAGCTTTTGTTTCCAATTCCACGTGAAGATGGAATTGAAAATTCTGAGTTTTCAGCCATTTCTCACTGAAGCCCACACAGTGAAGCCAACCAGAAGTCTCTGAAGGCTTCTTTCCTTAACTATCTTCATTCTTTGTGCCTCAGGACTGCTATATATTGGATCATGGTGGGATGAAAATCTACGTATGGAAGGGGAAAGGAGCCACGAAAGTGGAGAAACAGACAGCCATGTCTAAGGCCCTGGTATGATTCAGTTGCATCTTTCCAGTTTCTTCTCTTGAAATTGGCTTTTAAAATATGGATTTACATGTGGTGTAGTAGCAGTTATTTACCATCCCAAAAATAAATAAAATAAATAAATAAATTATTTACCATCCCAGCTGTCCCCCTATCAAAATAACTCAGGGACAATAAGCCAAGAGCCCAGAGACTCAGGGCTGGCAAAGCGAGACAGTGGCTTTTGGCAGCAGATTTTGAGGGTCATGATGAATAAGGAGGAAACTGTTGGCTGTTTGATTTACTATGGTAGGATTTTTGTTTCTGATATGGAGACGGCAGACACTTGTGAGATTTTTCCGCCTCAGGACCAAAATAATTTAATTGGTCTAGGCTACTACATATCTTTATCAGAGCTTGGAAAAGTTAGTTTTCTTTCTACAGCTCCCAGACCCTCCAGCCAGTAGTTGTAGGTGTATTTTTAAAAGTAACTTTATTGTGCTCTTGACTTTTCGTGAGGGAGAGGGCACGTCTGTAGATCTGTTTCAGGCAACAACATGCCTGAGCACAGAACCTCGCTTCTCAATGCCTCTCTGGGACCCTGCACTTCCAGATGGATTGCCTCTCTTTTGACTGGTGTGTAGATCCAGCATCTGGTCTCAAGCTGTGCGGAGAGCCCTGTAGAAAAAGCAGGAGAAAGACAGCAGCCCAGCCTCCATTAAATGCCATTGTGGCACCTACTGCTTGTGCCTAACAGGAATTTATGAAGATGAAAGGCTACCCTCCCACCACCCACCTGGAGACTGTGCATGACGGAGCTGAGTCGGCCATGTTCAAGCAGCTGTTCCACAAATGGACAGTCCAGGACCAGGCAGTTGGGCTTGGAAAAGCCCACAGTGTGGGCAAAATTGGTAAGGATGATCTTGTTTCTAGATGGGATGATGACTGCTTCTTGCTGTTGCCCAATGTTCTGAGGGGCCAGAACATAAACAAGGCTTTGTGTTCCCTTTCCAGCTAAAGTCAACCAGGAGAAATTTGATGTCACCATCTTGCACACTCAACCAGCATTGGCAGCTCAGGAGAGGATGGTGGATAATGGGGAAGGGAAGGCAGAGGTAAGAGCTACAAGCGCCAGCCTGAGCACAGAACCTCGCTTCCTGATGCCTCTCTGGGGCCCTGCACTTCCAGATGGATTGCCTCTCCAGTTTTACCCTTTCCATAAGACTGTCACAGTAGCAATATTTTTTTAATAATATATACAAAGCCTTGAGTGTCATCTTACTTGTTGGTGACTACAGGGCCCTCCTAGCTGCCATTAGCCTAACTGCTCTGATGTCACAAAGTGTTGAACAGTTTAGAATGCCAAGACCTAGAGGAAATGTCTCAAACTTTAGAAATCATGAACACTAGCAGATAGCTGATCTGGAGTGGTGCTGGCTTATTATGCCGGGGGAATTCAACATTCACACTGAGACTATTTTGTCAGGAGTGGTTCAGGACCTCATGTTCTCCGTAAGAACTATGAGTCTGTCCCAGGTGGTATCTGGCCCCACTCGTGTTGCAGGGCACATCCTGGGTCCAGTTTTCTGTGCCAGTTAGGATGATGGTGATCTGCAAGTGGAGGATCTCTCTGAAGTTCCACTGTTATGGACATATTGCTGGTTGGTGAGGTTTAGACTCACTGGTACTCAGAAGTGCTTGAGGGGTGGAGGAGCTACTAAGACCGTCCACTCCAGAAGGTTTATGGATCTTGACAGTTTCCTGTTGGCTCCTGGGTAGTTTCTGTTGCAGAATTTTGAATTTTTCCTCAAAATTCCTTTAGCTATGCAGCGGAAGTACAGGGATTCACAGAGCAGAATCACTTCAAGTTCCCCAATTTAGTTCATCCCCCTTTTTTTTATTCACTGGCACTTACTGTCTCAATAACTCACTCTGATACATTAGTAGAAGAATAAAAGGTTTCATTGGTTGTTGTGGGTTTTTCGGGCTCTTTGGCCGTGTTCTGAAGTTTGTTCTTCCTAAGGTTTCGCCAGTCTCTATGGCCAGCATCTTCAGAGGACAGCAACCTGTGCTCTGGTGTAGTTGGCTTGGGAGTGCAGTGTTTATGGCTGTGAAAGGTTTCATTACTCGCAACTGAACAGAGCCAACAGCAAAACTAACAAACATAACTGCTTGCAGCAGCAGGCCTCAGTAGACTCCTTGCTTCCAACAAACTGACTGATTTCAAAAGAAAAGAGAGGATAGAAAACCCAAAAGGAAAGAATTAATTTTGAATTCATTGAATTCAAAAGCAGGGAAGCAATGATTGGTTAGTGCTGAACAGTCTGACAATCACTCAAGCCCAGGAAGGCCCTTTCCAGCCATACCTATTAGAGGTAGCATGTGAGGTTGCAATAACTCCAACAGTTTGTTGCCACCTGAGCAGGTGTTTCTGTTGAAACTTTGGTTGATCTCTGGAATCAAGAAATGGCCAGCAGAGAAGACATGATTGCTCCTAAACATCCACTCCCACATAGTGGAGCCAAGCTAGTACCTTGGTTTTCCAGGAAGCTGTTGCTGATTAAATGAATGGGATAGTAACTTGAGCACTTCTGGGGGTAAACTTGGGAAGAAATCCAGCTGAACAGAGGCTAGAATCTAATGGCAGTGGTGGCAGTAAAGAATTCATTCTTCTTTGCTACCACTGCATCTGCACAGTTTTCCAACAGAATTGCCTAGGGTAGTCAGGGACTTTTATGCTCTGGCCCACAAGAGAAGACCAACAACCATTTGGAGGCCTGTTGTGAACAGTCTTCATTGACCAGATAATTGGGCACACTCAAAACACCTCAGAAGGACTGCACCCCTCCTATGACATTTATCACTTTCTAATTTTGAAGCTGGCCTTTCATATCGTTTGGCCTGACAAAGATGCTATGATTGGCAGATGGTGTCATCAGCCCTGCCTCAACAGATGAGAAATGTTGACATCTGAGCATTCAGCCTGGAGGCAGGGTGTGCAGCACGGCCTCTTCAATTTGAAGAGACCCTTGTTCAGCAGGCCGAGGCAAAGAGGCAGTCCCGAAACCAGCAAAACCAGGGAGCTGGACAGGGGACAGATTGTATTTGTCTTCAGTGTGGAAGGGATTGTCACTCTCGAATTGGTCTTCTCAGTCACACTAGACGCTGTACCAAGACCTCTATTCAGAGCACGATACCGTAGTCTCTCGAGACTGAAGGATGCCTATAGTCATCAGCCCTCTTCATTGAAAATGTCAAGTGCTCTCCCCTGCCCTGCCCTCCTCCATGAGCCCTGGCCCTCTTCACTGCTCCTTTCGAAGACGAGTTTAACTGCCGAGAGAAGACCCAGTTCAGTTGCCTGTTTTGTTCCTCGTAGGTCTGGCGGGTAGAGAACCTGGAGCTGGTGCCTGTGGAGTCGCGATGGCATGGATTCTTCTATGGTGGGGACTGTTATCTCATCCTATACACCTATGAGGTCTACAGGAAACCCCATTACATCTTGTACATTTGGCAGGTAGGTGACGGGGTCCCTGGCTGCATTTTCCAAAAGACTTTTTGTGATGGATTCCTCTTTCATGCCCATTATGCAGCCTCCTTCCTATCCTAGCCTGGTGTCCTCCAGATGAGTGAGCCTACAGCCCATCAACATCCCAAAATATCCAGAACTGCCAGGTGTAAAAAAAAAGGAGGATGCAGTGCAGTGGTTCCCTGTACCCTAGTGATCTGTGAGGGTACAGAGACCCTAATTTGCCTACAGGAGGAAAATGGATATACTGATCCCTGGGAAGGGAGGCACTATATTGAAGCCCTTGATTTAGGTTCCTGAACTAAGCACTGAACATCAAGGCAATCTATGTTGTGAAAATCCTTAATGATGCCTGTTAGCCCAGCAAACAGCGAGTCCCTTCAACGTATAGATTCCGTCCCTGGTTATCAGAATAGCTAGCAGAGCGCCTTTCTCCCTTTGGAAAGAAATCACATTCACAAGTCTTATTCTAAATAAGAATAGTATCTTGTTGCTGGAAGTGGTGACTGGAATGAACCGTTGTGCAACTTTTTGAACCTCAAAGGAGACTCAGATCCACCCAAAGGTCTTGCGCATGGTGTTGCCTGAAAGGGGTCAGTGGCCGGTTCTCCCATATTGTGACATAATTGCACTGCACAGTGTTGGACTCTCCCATAACTTTGTCTCCCACTTGGCTTGCATATTGTCATCCTGTGCTGTTGCCAACAGGTTATTATCATTAACGTTTATTAGAAAAATACATCAATTAGAAAAGATTATAGGAATCCTAACTCTGGAGGGGGAAGCTGGAAATGGAAGGAGCCATGGCTGCCCTCTCACCTTTCAAGAACAAAGGCAAGGCATGTCTTCTGTCCTCTCTCCCACAAGAGAAGGTCAAGAAAGAAGTGTGAGAAGGAAGGGACAGCAGTAACCCTAAGACTATCAGTCTAGGCTGAAGGAAGGTCAGCAAAGGTCAGGATAGGTAATGGGCTGTCTAGGAATCCTGAGGAGGTCTTACTCTCTCCACTTATTCCTCCCCATGCAAAGAGACACATTAAAGAAAAAGCTGAATTGCACCCAGACACCTCCAGCATAAATAACAAGCATTAGGTAGGACAGTGATACTGTCAAAAATCCTGGAAGCCCAATCATTGGGCTGTGCTTCCCAACCTTGGGTAACCCAAACGTTCTTGGACTACAACTCCCAGAAATCCTGGCCAGTACAACCAATGGTAAGAACTTCTGGGAGTTTCAGTCCAAGCACATCTGGGGACCCAAGGTTGGAAACCATTGACACACAGTGTCCCCCTCCCCCTTCCGAGTTTGTGAGGATGAGTACTATAATAAATTGCTAAAAATAGCTGCATTTTAATACGCTTGAAATAAAAAAAAATGTTTAAAGCCACTTTTGCTTCTACGGCAATTTATAAAAGCTTTTGATTACAGTGTACTAGTCCGCTGGATGGAAAAGGCTGGGTACCTCTTCAGTCCGTTCTAGTGTTCCGTAGTGCCAAGGGAAAAATATCTGTTTCACAATGTATCTGTTCCAGAGCATTTTTTTTTTACTTATTCCTCCCCCTGCCAGAACGGCTGTTAGTAATGAAGAGGAACATACATGCAAATACATCAACGGTTAATAAGCAAATATGCCAAACAGATATTCAAACACATTGAAGAGACGATCTTTGTATGTGTTCCACTCCATGATTAAAAGTCATTTAGGGGGGGATTTCAGTTAGGCAGTTGGTATGGGAGCGCGGGGGGGGGGGGCAAAGTCCCAATGCAAATCTCTCCTGCCCCAGAGCTGCTTTTGAAGAACATTATTTGATGATCTAATGATGTACAACTTGCAATATAATGTTTCATTTCTCAGAGAGGAATGAGGAAGAGGCAGAGAAAAAGAAGTAACTGGTAATTTGGTTCAAGAACATGTAGCCCTCCAGGTATCGTTGGACTGTAACTCCCTGCAGCCCCAGCCAGCACAGCCTGTGATGGGAGTTGTGGTCCCACAGTATCTGGCAAGCGACACGTTCCCCCTGTGCCTGTGCAAAATCTACCCATGCAGTTTATCCAGAGTAATAGTTGCTGACTTTATAGCTTCTATATATCTGGAGGCAAAAATGTTGAAACTGAGGCACATCATGAGAAGGTAGGATTCTCTGGCAAAGACAATAAGGTCGGGAAAAGGTGGAAGGCAGCAGGAGAAGAGGAAGACCAAATGTGAGATGGATTGACTCCCTAAGAGAAGCCACAGGCTTGAGTTTATAAGAACTGAGCGGGACTATGGGAGAGAGGACAGGACATTCTGAAGATCTTTCATTCACAGGGTCACCATAAGTCAGAAACAACTTGGCAGTACATAATACCAAACAATTTTTTTCCCTAGGAGCTTAGAATCACTTGGGTTTTATACCTGTCTTCTCAGAGACTGGGAAAGTATTTTAAAAAAAAAAAAAAAACACCTACAATTCCCAGTGGATATAATTGTCTGGCAGAGTCTTCACTTTATAATCTTAAAATGAAATTTATCACTGACTTCTTATGATTGTAGTTTAGATAGAGAGATATTGTTGGAAACAACTTGGCAGTACATAATACCAAACAAACTTTTCCCCTAGGAGCTTAGAATCACTTGGGTTTTATACCTGTCTTTTCACAGACTGGGAAAATATTTTTTTTTTAAAAAAAAACCAACAACCTACAATTCCCAGTGGATATAATTGTCTGGCAGAATCTTCACTTTATAATCTTAAAACGAAATTTATCACTGACTTCTTATGATCGTAGTTTAGATAGAGAGATATTGACGTGATCAAACCCACCAGGGGCCTTCATAGTTAAGTGACGAACACTGCTAACAATGATGTACTGGCATCCCCTTGCCCTGTGCAAGGGTGTTGTAATGCACCCATAAATACAACACACAGATTCACATGCTAGACCTTTGGGTGCACTTCCTGTGTTTCAGGGACGCCATGCTACCGTTGATGAGCTTGCAGCCTCAGCATACCATGCGGTGGAAGTGGACCAGCGGCTCAATGGGGAGCCTGTTCAGGTTCGAGTGATGATGGGCAAGGAGCCACGCCATTTCCTGGCTGTGTTCAAAGGCAAGCTTGTCATCTTTGAGGTACGGAGCAAAATTTCGCAGTGCAGCGGGGAAAAAATCATGACTTTCTCGCCCACTAGGCATGCTGGTTAAGGCTGAGAAGATATTGCATCTTAGTGTGTTGTTGCTTGGAATCCTGGCGATATACCGGAAAGACAACTAGCTTGTGGCTGTTGTGGGTGGGTAACTCAGTGAGTTATGTTGGGAGTTCAATTCCTCACTGAGTTTCCTGGGAGAAGAGTCAGCATGTGTAGCCTTGGATAAGCTACACAGTGCCAGGGCACCCCCAGAAGAAGGGAACGGTATTATGATTGTTGTCATTATTGTAGACATACCTTCAGCACAAATTCAAGTTTTTTTTTCCTGCATCAGTACAATTGTTATAATTCCTCCACTCCAAAGAATTTTAGGAAACAGAGATTGGATGAGTGTTGTGAGAATATGGTGGCCTCTGTCCTACTTTTCGAAGGATTGGTGAAGGCATCATCTGATGGATGGTCAAACGACAGTCTTCTATTTCAAGGATTTTAGGAAAGCCAGTTTTAATCAACTCAGGTCCCATGGCAGGAAAAGGAGTCCAAGAGGGGAGGGAGTTCCTTAAAATGGAAATTCTAAAGGCACAACTATAAACAATTCTAACAAGGAAAAAAAAGTGAAAGACGGGGGGAAGACAGACCAATGTGACTTCATAAAAAATTGCAGGTATTGTGTTAGAAAGGCAAAAGCTGAGAATGAGCTGAGGTTAACAAGACAGTCTAAAAGCAAAAAAAGAGAGTGTCCTTCAGGTGTATGCCTAGCAAAAAACCTAGAAAAGAAAGTGTCTCAGCTACTCAATGTGGATGGGAAAATGATAACAGATGACAAAGAAAAGGCAGAAGCGCTCAGGTAGAACAAGTAGGGTCCCATGTGTGTCACAGTTAAGAACTGAAAAAATGATTGTAAGATTTCCCCCCTAACGATAGATTTATCAGTGCTGCACGTAGAAAAGCCTAGAAAGGTAGGCTGAACAAGGAGCATTTCTAAACCTGTTTCATGATATGGGAAAGAAGATGTCGTACTTCATTCGAGGCCTCTCACAGGTATTAATAACAGAAGCTATAATTCTTTTTTGTCCTAAAGGTTGTAACTTGATTAGAAATGGTTTGTCATCCTATAAATAAAACATAAGAGATTGTGAACATTTCCCCTCTCCTGCTACTCTACCACACAGCTTAGAAAAGTAATTTCTGGGACTACAGTTCCCATAATCTTTCAGCTCTCAGGGCTTTTGGGAGGTGTAGTCCAAAAAAATATGTTTCCCAGGTTTGCTTACCTGATATAGATGCTTTTTGCACTACCTCAGTTACATAGTACCACCTCAACTTTGGGTCAGACTAGATGATACATTTAGGGTGTATTTAGAAGTTATGCTCCCTTCAAGGGATGGAAAAGATTTGTTTGTCCTAGCACAAACTTTCCTCATCTCTGTATCCTGGAGATTATTTTGCCTTTTTATTATTATTGGTCCTCATGGGATAAGCACAGGATTAATATGCAAGAGCAGGGCAGTGTATTTGTTAAGAGTGTCAGTCTAGGACTTGTGAGCATCCTGTTCAGTTCTTGACTTGGCCATGGAACTCAATGGGTGTCCCACTTTTTCAGCCTGATCTACCTCACAGGGTTGCTCCTATATAAAGTGAGGATGCAAGACAGATATATATTGCCCTGTGTGCACTGAAGAAAAGGTAGGATAGGCATAATAATAAATAAATGTCATTGACACGTCTGTCTGAGCAAATTGCACAGTGTGGGAGAAAGTGAGAGCTAATTGTTAGTAATCAAAATACTTTTTAACCTCTAGCTTGATCTATAGTCATTGTCATTCCATTCTCGACAACGTTGAACAAACTGTGTTGGATTTCTGCTGCCTTTCTCTGTAGGGCGGGACATCCCGGAAAGGTGGCCAAGAAGAGGAATCCCCAGTGAGGCTCTTCCAGATCCGTGCAATGGATGGCACCAACACTAAGGCCATGGAGGTGCCGGCTTCTGCATCCTCTCTCAACTCCAACGACGTCTTCCTGCTCAAGACCCAGGGAGATCATTACCTGTGGTATGGAAAGGTGAGGCCAGGAAAACTGACTCAAAGGAGGGATGAGGGCAAGCTGAGGTGGGAGGACTGAGAAGCCCCTTCTTCCACTGAATTTTAGGTAGACCCGTATGGATGCAATTATTCCTTTAACAGAAGGGATAGATATTCATTAAAATGAATAAAATAAAGTAGCTGATAGCTATAGGATGTCGTATCTGAGGTTGAACATGGACTCCCTGAACAGGGGAGGAAACACTCAAGAATAATTTAAGAACTGAAAACCATAGTCTCTAGCTTTTGAAGAGAAGAGTACAGTGGGGTCTTGACTTAAGAACGGCTTGAGTTAAGAACATTTTGACTTAAGAACCACTCTCATAGGAAAATATTGACTTGACTTACATACTTAGATTTGAGTTAAGAACTGAAAAAAAAACCACGTGGGAGGCAGGGAAAGTGCAAAATTGGAACTTTCAGTTAACTGTTGGCAAGTGAAAAGGGTGCCTCTCTGCTTCCTCACTCCTCCCGGCGTTTAGAGAGTGGATTGGGAGACAGTCTTCGGACTGCCTGGTACTGGACTGTCTGGACTGTATTTTCCCTGCCTTCCCTGAACCTTTCTTGACCTGAGAAAAAAAGAAACAAAATATACCCCTCTAGTGGTCGAAGGTGGAATAGCAGCTTCCCATTAGTTTCTATGGATGGAAAAGAGCAGATACGGATCAAATGGTTTTCAATGCATTCCTATGGGAAATGCAGATTTGACCTGAGAACTTTTTGATTTGAGAACCGCCTTCCAATACGGATTAAGTTCTCAAGTCAAGACCCCACTGTATGCGATATTTTGTCAACTACTGTAAAATCAATACCTGAGACCTGAAATCTATTAGGACCACACCATTACATAGAAATGGCAGCACTCTGTAGTCACCTATTTGTGGGCTGTGCCCATAATCCAGTCTGGTAATCTAGTCTGCTGCCTTCAGGGGGGCTGGAGAGGAGGCAGTCCTGTCATCAGTGACCAGGCAAGAGTGACTGATCTGCTTCTGCATCGGGAAAGGAGTGGAAGGGGAAGAACCGTGTCATGTCCTTTACCTCAAATGGCAGAAAATCTTGAGCTGACCGTCATGCATGTCTCATTGCTATGTTTTTTACACCAGGGTTCCAGTGGTGATGAAAGGGAAATGGCTAAGCAGCTGGCCACAACTCTCTGTGATGGGCTTCAAGAGACGGTGGTGGAAGGCCAAGAACCGACAGAGTTTTGGGAGCTGCTTGGAGGCAAAGCCCCGTATGCAAGTGAGAAAAGGTGGCTATATACCCAGCCCTCAACATTACTGCCCCACTGTATCTAAGTCCAGCAAGTAGGCAGACATATCTCCTCAAGGATGCTTAGCTAAAGCCACAGCTAGTAAAAGGTACCCTTTGGGACTACAGCTTCCAGAAGCCCATTAGCTTGCATAGCCAGTGGAGATGCTGACTGGGGAATTCTGGGAATTGTAGTCTATAAGGTAAGCTATCTTAAGATTTGCCTATTGTCAACTTTGATGCTTTTTCCTTGCTAAGCATTCAAATTTTCCTGAATTTTAAAATTTTGAGATTTTTTCCCCCCTGACTTTCATCTGTTTGTTTTTTACATGCTGCTTTAAATGTTTTACTCAGGGCGCGTCCAGATGACACATTTCTGGTGCTACAGCTCAATGAGCACAACACAACTATTCCATGTTTTTCTATTTAATGTGTTGTTTCCCCTCACAACAAAACAAAATAGTAAAATAAAATAAAATAAAATACTTTTAAAAGGCAACCAAAAAAGCAACGAAGGAAAGGGGATGATTCCAATTGAAAAGTCACATCTTCTGCACCCTCCATCCCCTATAAAATTCTGTGAATGAATGAGGCAGGGGATTACTGTACATGATGAAAACTACCAGTAACCTTAATGGGCCTGTGTCTGAATGTTCAGGCTTTGTTGTGGCCAGGTTCCTGGTCCATTTGCTGGGTTTTGTTTGGGGAACTTCCTGTCTACATGTTCTGGCAGCAAGGCCAGAGGGAACTTTCTCTAATAGCCCACATCTCTCTTCCAGGCTACAACAGGAGTTCCCCGATCACCCTCCTCGGCTCTTCGAATGCTCCAACAAAACTGGACGCTTTGTGGTCCTCGAGATAACAGATTTCACCCAAGACGACCTATGTGAAAGTGATGTTATGCTTTTGGACACCTGGGACCAGGTGTGGCTGGGCAGGGAAGCCCTGAATTTCAAAAACTCTCACATTTGCTAGTGACAGCAGAATAGGTCCTCCTGTTTGTCATTTAATTCAAAGAATAGGTCCTCCTGTTGTCATTAACACAAAGAGAGTGTTAAGCGGTTTGGAGGCAACCTTTTGAAAATTCTGTTGCTTTGTAAGGAGAAAGAACTGGAGGTTTGTACAGCTTTTAAAGACAGGACTGGGTAATGTTGAGCAGTAGCTATAAGACTGTTGTTCCCTGATTTATCTTCCCTACAACCCTATGAGGTAGGTCACTGCTCTACTTCCAGATGCAAGACCCATCAGCCAAAGCGAGCAGCATTACTAGTCAGTTGTAGTCCAGTGTTACATGGAAGGCCATAGGTTGCTATTGGATGCTAACGATACTTTTCAAGACTGATTGCAAGTTGGAAAGGAAAGGCAGGATATAAATTAAACCAAACAACAAGGGTACATTAATTTGAAAGGAGAAGGTGGCTGAGATCTCAACTCAAAGAAACTGCAGAGGAAGCACAAAACTTTGCTATGCTTTTAGGACTAGCTTGAACGGCTGAGGTAACCACACTGCATGGCTTCACAGAGGACGTCCTATGATGCTTTCAAGTTGGACTTCCCCAGATGTGTTGATTACAACTCCCATCATCCCTACCTAACACGAGCCACCAGGAGAGACAGTCTGGTGTAGCGGTTAGTGTTTGACTGGGGCTTGGAAGATCCCGATTCTTGGTTGCCATGGATGTGAACTTGTTCCAGACTTTCTTTATCAGCCTGACCTACCTCATGGGGCTGATGTGAGAATAAAACAGGGAAGAGCAGAGCCGTAATATATGAGCTTTAAGATCATTGTAACAAAGGCCACATAGAAGCATTAAAAGTAATAGTTACCATTCGACCTAATCGTGGGGCACCAGTCTGGGAAGAGACTGTAATGAGCCAAAAGAGCCAGAAATCAGACCTCCCCCTTCCAAATCAATGAGCCACTGGCCATCTGGAGGCAAACAACAGGCCACAATCCTCATGGTTTTGCTCTGCCTCTGAGTATCCCTGGAGCATCTGGTGGCCCAATGATGGGGAGAGTACTGACATGAAAAAAAAACACTCCATGGGAGCAGGAATTGCTGTCATGGCCTCTGCCTTGGGCAGCCAGATATCTGGGTCTAAACATTTCTTTCCACAGCAGAATTCTGTCACACTGCTCAAACGAATTACTTAAGTGATTGATTGATCGATCCTTTCACCCTTGAATTCTGTCACACTGCTCAAACGAATTACATAAGTGATTGATTGATCGATTCTTTCACCCTTCCTTCCCAGATTTTCTTATGGATTGGCAAAGAAGCCAATGCAGAAGAGAGGAAAGAGGCCCTGACGACAGCTCAAGAATACCTGCAGACCCACCCCAGTGGGAGAGAGACCGACACTCCCATCCTGATCATCAAGCAAGGTTTTGAGCCTCCCAACTTCACAGGCTGGTTCCTGGCATGGGATCCGAATCGCTGGAGTGTAAGTGAGAGATGTGCCTAAAACACAGCCCTCTAATTTTCCTGAGGATACCTGCCTATTGACAGGGTGTCTGGTTTCCTGAGGATACCTGCCTATTGACAGGGCGTCTGGCACAGTCTAGAATAAGTAAAACATATAAGATGTAGATTTGGGGATAAATATATTGTAACTTCTAACTAAAGTCACCCTACTGGTTCAAAAGCATCCGAGTAACAAAGGTTAAGAACCACTGGTCTAGAATAAGTAAAACATATATGATGTAGATTTGGGTATAAATATATTGTAAGTTCTAACTAAAGTCACCCTACTGAATCACTGGGCCTTCTGTGAATGATGACGAATTATAAGCCCTGCGGATTTCAGTAGGCTTATTTTAGGTTGAACTCACATTGGATTTCACCCTCAATCGTTGCTGAAACAGATATTCACAAGTCGTTGACTGGCAATGTGTTCATTACTGCTCAGCATTGGAATTACGTAGAATGTGGAATGCGGATTTCAGTAGGCTTATTTTAGGTTGAACTCACGTTGGATTTCACCCTCAATCATTGCTGAAAAAGATATTCACAAGTCGTTGACTGGTAATGTGTCCATTATTGCTCAGCACTGGAATTAGAATGTGGAGTTTCTTATTGGATTATATGAAGTTTTATCTTAAAATTAGGAATTCGATTCCCTTAGATATTAAGGAATCATTTCATGTTTTACTATTGGCAGGCAACTATGATAGTTCCAGCTTAACAAGATGATACTCAGTGTGGTGTATTGTATAGTGTTTCCCAGTCCAGGGGTTGTAACCCACAAGGGGGCTGCAAAGCATTTTCTAGGGCGTCACGGTTCACTTTATATACAGTGGTGCCTCGCTTAGCGAGTGCTTCGCTATGCGATGAATTCGCATAGCGAGGGGGTCCGGGCCATCGCTGGAGCATTCGCTCAGCGATGGCCCCTATGGCG